CCCAGCACCCGGGCACTGACAGCATCGGAGCGCACGGCTCTCCGGGCCTCGGGCCGGCCCCCACGGTCTCCGGCCGCATTATTTACCCGCACAGCAGCCATGGCCTCCAATCACCCCGCGGCCGCCTCCACTTCCCCCGCTGCCCGAGCATGCTCCTGCCTCCCCAGGGCCTGAGTGACGGATGCGCCGCTGCCTCTCCCGAATGGCACCCCCAGGGTTATTGATGCCTCGGAGAGGAAGGTTCCAGCGCAGACAGGCCCCCAGCCGCACCGGAGCGGCTTTCACAGCCCGATCTATAACGGCGAGAGCCGGTCTATAACGGCGAGAGCCGGTCTATAACGGCGAGAGCCGGTCTATAAAGGCGAGAGCTGGTCTGTAATGAACGGCGAGAGCCGATCTGGCTGGGGGCAGCCGCGGAGAGGGCGGTGGGTGCGGCGGAGAAAGAGGAACGGCCTCGTGGCGGGGACAGGGGCGCCGTCCACACTCTCCTCGCGGCCGGAGTATCCGCGTGGGGCTCCCCGCCTCCCCGCCCAGGGGCCAGCGGGCTGCTCCTCTTCCTCCTGCTCCACACCGTCCAGACCAGTGGTCGGCAAACTCATCAGTCCACAGAGCCAAACATCAATAGGACAATGATTGACATTTCTTTGGAGAGCCACGTTTTTAAAACTGAAACTTCTTTTTTTTTAAAATATATTTTATTGATTTTTTTTTTACAGAGAGGAAGGGAGAGAGATAGAGAGTTAGAAACATCGATGAGAGTCATCGATCAGCTGCCTCCTGCACACCCCCCACTGGGAATATGCCCGCAACCAAGGTACATGCCCGCAACCAAGGTACATGCCCTTGACCGGAATCGAACCCGGGACCCTTCAGTCCCCAAGCCGACGCTCTATCCATTGAGCCAACCTGGTTTTGGCTGAAACTTCTTCTAATGCCACTTCTTCAACATAGACTTGCCCAGGCTGTGGTATTTTGTGGAAGAGCCACACTCCAGGGGCCAAAGAGCCGCACGTGGCTCTCGAGCTGCGGTTTGCTGACCCCGGGTCTAGACTTCGGGATGCTGGTCAAAGCCCTTCTCCTCGCCAGCGACGGGCAGTGGGCCCCACGGCCTCCCCACAGTCAGAGGGGGCGTGCCCCTTGCAGAATTGGGTTTGGGCTGAAGAAGGGCCAAGAGTCGCCTTCTGAGCAGAAGAGGAAGTGGGTGTGGGGGGTGGGCCTTCCAGTCCAGAACCTCAGGGCCCTGCAGGCCAGCCGCCCTCCCGCCCGGTGGATGCGCGGGGGCTCCCATCGGCGCTCAGGGCCGTGGTGCTGCGGCCTCGCACCGAGCACCGGGCTCCGTTCCCAGATCAGCTTCCCTCTCCAGGCGGGGATCTGCTGTGGGATGTGCGTTGGTTTTCCCTGAACGGACGGCGGTGGCTCATTTGGTGGATCAACTTGACTGGATCACAGGGGTCGGAGGGCCCGCGAAAGCTCATGTCTGGGTAGTCCAGGACCCAGGCCAGGGAGGAGCCTGCAACCGAGGTACAGCCTTTGACTGGAATGGAAGCTGGGGCCCTTTGTTCCACAGGCCAATGCTCTATCCACTGAGCCAGACCGGCCAGGGCCACTTGGGGAATTTTTAAAGAATTCCAAAAGAAGCCAGCTCTCACAGAGCCCAGGGAGCGTGCCTCCTGCCGGGGGCCGGGCGGAGAGCGTGTTACTCGGGAGGCATCGGGAAAGCACGCAGCAGGTGTGTCTGTGCCTGTGCGAGAGCATCAGCCCGGACCAAATGCTGCCTCATCGACCCCGGCAGATGTCGAAAGCAAGACTGTGAAGGAGTGAGCTGTTTCTGAGTAACTATTTACCGCCCGGAAGGCTGACAGGTACTAGTAACTGCCTAAAACCTCGTGTGAAACGCGGAAGGTATGACACACGAGGAGGGGAAAATCCACTAAAGTGGACCCAGAACTGATACAGACGGAGGGATTGGCAGACACAGACGTGAAAACAATGATTAGAGATCCATAGAAGGCTCAAGAGAGTTAAGTAAAGACACAGAAGAGACAACAGAAATGGACTAACATTTCTAGGGCTGAAAGCTACATCGCCTGAGATGAACAATGCAAGCAAAGAAATGAGCGGATGTGAAGGCAGTGATAGGAACTATCTAAATAAAACACAGAAGAAAGGATTAAGAAAAGGTCATCCCTTAGCTGTGGGATGTTACACGGCCCAGTAAGTGCATGACTGGAGTCTCTGAGGAAAAGGAGAAGAGGGAGAGGCAGAAAACGTATTTGAAGAAATGATGGACAAAATTCTTCCAAATTTGATCTAAATTTTAAACCCACGGATTCAAAAAATAAAATAAATAAACCAACAAACTTAACCACATGTGAAACACATGAAACACGTTTATATGGAAATAAATCACATTAAGGCACATCATAATCAGCTATTCGGAACCTGTGATAAAAACCTGAAGAGGAGTCGGACCGTATGAGACAGAGAAACACAGGCGAGGGAGACGGCGGACCTGGGGCTGAACGCCGTGCAAGCAGGAAGACGGTGGAGCTGCGTCTTTAAAGCACTGAAGAAAAACTTGTCACCCTAGAGCACATGTGTCAAACACAAGGCCCGCGGGCCAAATCCGTCCCGCCAGGCCTTGCAATGTGGCCCGCACTGCGCTGTCATCACTGCACTCCGCTGCATTTCCATCACAATGACAGTTTATGACTGTTCAGTAAACCATTTGGCCCGCGATTTAGGCTGGATTTTAGATTTTGGCCCCTTCTCTGATTGAGTTCGACACCCCTACCCTAGAGGTACATGCCCAGTGAAAGGATGTTACAGAATAAGGCAAAATAAAGACTCTTCTAGACAGGAAAAAGCTGAGGTAATTCATCCCCAGCCAACCAAGGCTGAACACTAAAAACGAAAAACACGAGTCCTTAGGAGAGAAGGACACGGATACTGGATGGAAATACAGATTTACATAAAGAATGGAGAGCATCAGGAGCGGTTAGTACATGAGTGAATATGTTTTTTACTACTTAAATATCTTTAAAAGAATAATAAATAATAGCGATATAGTTGAGGGTTATCATATATATATATATATATATATATATATATATATATATATATATATGTATATACATACACTAGTAGTCCTGTGCACAAATCCGTGTGCCAGTAGCTTGCTGCCGCCCTCCAGTAGCTCTCCACCCACTGCCCCGCCCTCCTGTAGTTCTCCCCCCCCCCCCCCCCCCCCCCCCCCCCCGCCTCCCTCACAGCTTGCTGTCCCGCCCCCTCCAGTAGCTCTCCACTGCCTACTTATATCCAGTAGCTCGCTGCCACCCTCCTGAAGCTCCCTCTGCACCCCCATCCTCCTCCCCTCACAGCTGGCTGCCCCGCCCCCTCCTGTAGCTCCCTCTGCACCCCCATCCTCCTCCCCTCACAGCTGGCTGCCCCGCCCCCTCCTGAAGCTCCCTCTGCACCCCCATCCTCCTCCCCTCACAGCTGGCTGCCCCGCCCCCTCCTGTAGCTCCCTCTGCACCCCCATCCTCCTCCCCTCACAGCTGGCTGCCCCGCCCCCTCCTGAAGCTCCCTCTGCACCCCCATCCTCCTCCCCTCACAGCTGGCTGCCCCGCCCCCTCCTGAAGCTCCCTCTGCTGCCAGCTTGTATAATAGCTCGCGGGCCCCTCCCTCCTGCTGATCTGTGATTACGCAGTCGGTCATTTTGCTTCACGGTGTAACGACCACTGGCATATTACCTCTTTGTTGTATAAAGTTCAAGACAAGGTGGGAGAGAGGAACTCTGGTGTGCATTTTGAAGGTTCCTGTGCCTCACGTGAAGTGGATGCCAGCACGGGAAGATGCCCTGGCACACGCTAACGGTGGGACCACAAGCCCAAAGTGGCCCCTGAGATGAAAACAAAAGCGACAGCCAATAGGCAGACACAGGAGAGGAGATAAAACGTGAAATAAGGCGGAAAGAGAAAACAGGAACACACGCTGGGGGCGACAGAAAACAGACGGAGAGCTGTGAGCTCAATTCTAGGCGGATCAGTAAGCCGACTTCAAGCAAATGCCTACACTCTCCAAGGGCAGCGATTGTCCGATTGGATTAAAAAACCTCCGAAACCGGTGTGGCTCAGTGGATAGAGCGTCGGCTTGGGGACTGAAAGGTCCCGGGTTCGATTCCGGTCAGGGTATGTACCTTGGTTGTGGGCATATCCCCAGTAGAGGGTGTGCAAGAGGCAGCTGATCCATGACTCTCTCTCATCGGTGTTTCTAACTCTATCTCTCTCCCTTCCTCTCTGTACAAAATCAATAAAATATATTTAAAAAAAATAACAAAAACAAAAAAGCAAGACTCAACAGCACGCGGCCTAACAGAGACCCGCTGGACACTCGCTGATGCGGCAGGCCCGGCCGGTGCGGCTCCGTGTAGAACCAGTCACCGGGTTGCAGGCTCAGTCCCCGGGAGGGGCTGTTCAGGAGGCAGCTTCCATGATTTTCTCTCATCATTGATGTTTCTCTCTCTTCCTCTCCATTCCTCTCTGACATCAATAAAATTTTTTAAAAGATGTAGGCGGGTTAAAGGGTAACAAACACCCATGCTGTGCTAACTCCGCTCCAAGGAAAGCTGAGCAGCTCCCAGGCAGTACAATGCTCCGCAGCCACAAGGAAGGATAAACTCGGATTCTCACCAGATGGGGGTCTCCAAACGGCGGGAGAGGTGGAGGAAAAATAAAACACCCAGAACTAAAAAAATAACGCAAACTGTAGCGTTCCAATTCTATAAAACCCTACGACACACAGACAAATCGGGTAACAGACGGCGGATCAGCAGGGCCCCGGTCGGGGACAGGGGGTGCCGGAGGGAGGACCTCAGGGGGCGTGGTGGAACGTTCCGGGCGATGGGCCGCGGCTTCACGGCACAGACACCTGCTAGTACACGCCCGCTGAGCGCGCTCCGTGTGTGCGGTGCACTCACGCCGACGCTCCCCACGTGAAGGCTTCCCGCTAAGCTCGTCAAAGCCTTCCTGATCCCCCATTCCCACACCCGGGATTGGTCCAGGCGGATGTCTGGGACGCACTCGATGCTTCTCCCGAATTCCCTGCCAGGCAGCCCTAATCCCCCCACGTGCATGTGCTTGGCGATAAGGCCTGTAATGAGGCAATTAAGACAGAATGAGGCCATTAGCGTGCCTCTCTGACGCCGGGTAATTGTCTTAGAAGAAGACAAAGAGACGCGGGGAGGTGGGTGCGGGGGATGGAGGCGTGTGAGGACGCGGAGCGGTGGTGGCAGGGGAGCCAGCCCACCCACCCCGGGGTCTCAGGTGGCCATCCTCCAGGGGAGATAAGGCGGCTTCTGCGGCTTACGCCCCTGCCTGGCGGTGGTTGTTACTACGCGGAGAGCAGACCAACCCCGGGATTCAGGGTAGCAGTGTCTCTTTGTTTTTATGTTTTGTTTTTTAATATATATATTTGATTTCAGAAAGGAAGGGAGAGGGAGAGAGAGCTAGAAACATCAGAGATGAGAGAGAACCATGGACCGGCTGCCTCCTGCAAGTCCCCTACTGGGGATCAAGCCCGCAGCCCTGAATGTGCCCTGATTGGGGATCAAACCTGTGACCTCTTGATTCTTGGGTGGACGCACAACCGCTGAGCCATGCCTAGTTGGGCTCAGGGTAGCAGCGTTTCGACGAGGCTCCCAGGAGCCAGAACCGTGAGCCGGGACAGCTGGCCAGGCCACCCCCTGCCCACATGCAGGGGGGTCTGACCCTGAGACCAGCGTGTGTCCGGCTGCTCAGTGCTGGCTCCCATGCAGCCTCCGGACCTCTCAGCCTCCTGGGTCCTCACACTTGGCCCTGTCTGTCCGACACCCACAACACTCTGTGCAAACATCGGTCAAATTATTTGTCAAACGCCTGACTCAGTGGCACCAGGACTGCACACTGCCCGCCGGGGAGGCAGAGGGCTCTCCAGGGAGCAAAGGTCAAGGCCACTGGTCTGTCGGGTAAGAGTGAGCTCCTCCCACTGAGGTCCTCTCCCTCCCTCCCGGCCCTGAGCCGGGCAGAGGCGGCACGCTGACTCCTTCCCGAGTTTCCGCTTCTCTTTGTTTTCACATTTAAATTCAACCAGCAGCTGGTATGGAACCATGGGACCATTTTGAAAACACCGAGGCTTCCAAAATGATGGCGAAGAATCAGAGTCTTCCCTGAGAGCCCCCCAGCCGAGCGCAGTAACCGGAGCTGCGCCCCCCACTGGCTTGGCGTGGGAGAGACGCGCTGGGGAGCCGGGCGCCGGGAGGAAGCGTGGGAGACGGCCTGGTAGCAGCACCTGGGCGGCGGCACAGGCACGGGCACCGATAAGGTGACTCATGGCAGGCAAGGCCAGCACTGAGCGGCCGCTTCACACCTGACGTGGTTCTGTTCGCTCTCAAACACTCACAGCGTCCTCCAGGAACCTTCTAGAACCGTGGTTCTCAACCTCCCTAATGCCGCTGCCTTTTAATACAGCTCCTCATGTCGTGGTGACTCCCAACCATAGTATTATTTTCGTTGCTTCTTCATAACTGTGATGTTGCTCCTGTTATGGACCGTCATGTAAATATCTGTGCTTCCCGATGGTCCCAGGCTCCACAGCAGCGGTTCTCACCCTGTGGGTGGCCATCAGCACCTGCCGGCTGTCACTGTCGAGACCCACAGGCTGAGAACCGCCAGCAGGGTCGCCTAAGACCGCCGGAAAACACAGGTATTTACATCACACAATCGCAGTTAGGAAGCAGCAATGGAAATAACGTTATGGATGGGGGTCACCACCACGTGAGGAGCTGTATTGAAGGGCCGCGGCACCAGGAAGGCGGAGAACCACGGCTCTGGAATGACCCCCTGGCATCTTGCCCGTCCTCTCCTCCTCTCTGCCCGGGCACCGTGTCCGACATGGCCGAGCGCACGCCGAGGGCTGCTCCCGGAGGCCGGTGAGACGGTGAGAGCGCTCAGGGGGTCAGGCGGGAGCCGGCGGCTGTCACCGAGGTTCCTGCCAGAAGCCCCGCGGGCGCCAGGTGCTGCTCTGTGGCGTGGCTTCCGGAGAAGCGGGTCCTCGGTGGACGTTTAACCAGGGAACACGGTGTCTGCAGAGTCAGGAGCTGCGTGCGGCCTCCGCCGACATCTGTCCGCTCCCATCTGGGCCTCTCCGGGCTGCGGCGGCTGATCCCTCCGGGAGCCGCAGATGTGCCGTTCAAAATGACTGTGACACGCAAACCAGCACTTGAGCGGGCACAGGGGCCGGCTTGCCTTCCTGACGCTCCCAGAGCTGCCAGGCGCTGGCGTTCTGTGGACAGAGGTGGAGAGACGGGGCTGGCGGCAGCAAGATGCCCCTCTGCCCTTCCTGGTGCAGAACAGCGGTGGACGGGGTGGTCCCGCGACCCAGGGCACTGCCCGTGAGCCCTCTCCACAGCGTCACCCCCACCCACACCCCCACCCCGGCTCCCACGGCTCCCAGGGCTCCCACGTCCTTCAGGCAAAAACACTGGGAGGTCAAAGGGAAGTTCCTGCAATCAAGCCTTAGCAGAGTGTTTCTTTTAAAATGTAAAACGCTTTGTGAACGCACTTCCTGTTTGGCACATCGCTCCTGGCTCATTCATTCACGCCGCACACAATGAGACACACAAAGATCTCTTTTCCTTGTGTATTGGTCTGTCCTCTGCGGAGACTGTGTCTGGGCGTCCTATCTCCGTCTCCTTCGGGAATAGACGGAGCTGGCAGGGGGTGAGGGCTGCCCACAGGCCGGTGTGGCTGAGGGGGCGGTGTTGAGAGCGGGGAGACACTAAGGGGATGGCACTGATGGTGACGAGTCAGGAACCTGGGACAGAAACAAAGGCCTCGGCCCAGAGCGAATCCTTCAGATGGCCGCCTTCTTTAGACCCCGGGGCTGCCGACTCTTGGGAGCGTGGCCTTTGGAATCTCATTTTCCAGAGGAGGGGAGTGTCTGGACCCCGTCTGCCCCTGTCCCGGGGCTCTCGAGATCCTGGGGGCATTCAGGCCTCCGTGGCACCCCATCACCCCATCTCGAGAACCACGTGTGTCGGTGTTCTCTGTCTCGGCAGGGACAGCTCAGCTCCCGGCCTCAGTCAGCTCCCGGCCTAGCTCAGCCCCCGGCCTCCCTCAGCTCCCTGCCTCCCTCAGCTCCCCCGGCCTCACTCAGCTCTCCCGGCCTTGCTCAGCTCCCTCGGCCTCCCTCAGCTCCCAACCTCCCGGCCTCGCTCAGCTCCCGGCCTCGCTCAGCTCCCGGCCTCCCTCAGCTCCCGGCCTCCCTCAGCCCCCGGCCTCCCTCAGCCCCCAGCCTCCCTCAGCCCCCGGCCTCGCTCAGCTCCCAGCCTCCCTCAGCTCCCAGCCTCCCTCAGCTCCCGGCCTCACTCAGCTCCCGGCCTCGCTCAGCTCCCAGCCTCCCTCAGCTCTCAGCCTCCCTCAGCTCCCGGCCTCGCTCAGCTCCCGGCCTCGCTCAGCACCTGGGACACGAACACCCTCTGTGAGTAACGTGGACTCAGCCTGTCGCAGGGCCCGGCCACGGAAGGCTGTTGGGGTGAGGGTCCCCCTGACGCTCCCTGAGGTGGGCCATTGTGTGGTCACGTGGTGATGGTCCCGCTCAGCCACCCCTTCCTCGGACGGCTGAACAGGTGGTGAACGCAGACGGAGGGTCAGTGCCACCCCCGCCGTGGGACCCTGTCCCCAGAGAGCACAGTGCTTCGGGGCGGCCTGGTCCCACCCGCAGGGCGCTCCCGGGGGCTTCGGTTCGGGGGCAGCTCGGCCGAGGGGGCCCGGTCTGGAGGGGACACTCTCTGGGGGGGGGGGTGTCCTCCGTGGCAGGAAGGGAGGAGGCCTTGGTCGTTTGACTCCAATCAGGGCTCCTGAGCCACGGAGCACATGCCTGTGATGAGCGTGTGCCCGGCCCCAGCCAGCTCCGCTCGCTCTTTCCCTGTGGAACTTGAATCTTTGGCACCAAAGCTGCCCCCTCCCGCCGCCAAGTCCTGTCTCCCTGATAAGCCTCATGTGTGTGCACACATGCACATACACATATATACACGTGCACATTTGCATGTATGTGTGTGCACATCTACGTGTGTGCACATCTACATGTGTGCACGCTTGCTAATGTGCATGTGGATGCTTGTATATGTGTCTGTGTGTGTATGTGCATGCACATGTGTGTACATGCTGGGCCCCGTATTCAGCTCAAGTCGGCACCATTGACGCCATCCAGGCCAAATGGGCAGGGTCTAGCTGTGACCGTGTAGCCTGGCGGCACAATTCAGTGTTGGGAACTGGGCACACGACCCCATGGAGAACGTGGCTGGTGAGGACGGGTTAGTGTTCTGCACGGAAACCATCATTCTCAGTGAACCATTCCTGGAGTCACTGTGAGCGATGCCAGCTGCTCAGAGATGGCCGCTCGAGGCCAGAGTGGACACGGAAGAGCGGCCGGATCGGCCGGAACGCGGGAAAGACCTTCCCTCTCGCGCGGCCAGCGAACCGCGTGTCCGACACTGGATGCAGTCCGTGCGGGTCATACGCCCCACATGAAGCCCCCTCAGGCGCGTGGGGACGGGCGCGGCCACGGGGGCAGGCGTCTGGCCACGACCGGGAAGCAGTGCAGACGCCAAGACACGGCGGCCCTGCTGCCCAGCCCCTCGGCGGGGGAACCGCGGCCCCTCTCGCAGTCACAGCAAATCCGTGCCGTTGGGGGGACTGGGGACGGATGGACTGTCCGATGAGAAAACGGTCCACATACGGACACGCTCTCCCAGCCGAGCTCGCACAGCGGGTGTGAGCGCCCCAGACGCTGGGCGCGGAGACGGGTCCGGGAAGGTGCGGGTGGAAGCGCCTGGGACGGGGCTCCGGAGTGGGAGCCGCAGCAGAGCGCAGCGCGGGGCTGAAACCCTGGCTCCCTGGCCGGGACACGCCGACGGCCGGAGAGGGCATCTCCCCCTCCGCCGAGGACGGGGGCTTTGCTTTTACAGGAGGCCCCGCGGCCTGTCCTCGAGATGAATGCCTCCCCGCGCCTTGCCCGGCTGCTCAGGCGGCTTCTCAGTGCCGCCCGGGGCCTCGGTTCCAGAAGCTTCCGGGTCTCAGCTGAGTGGCCTCCACACCCAGAGTGCATTTCCTCCCTGGAACAGCGCTCCCCGCGAGCTCGCAGAGAGTGTCTGAGCCCGCTCACTCCTGGGAAGGTCAGGGTCCATCCCAGAGCGGAGCCGGGCTCCAGATGGGCTCCGGGTGACCGCCTGGGCAGGGCGGGGGGAGAGGAGTGTGCGCTGTGCCTTTAAAAGTCCTCGGGGAGGAGGACCCGCTGACAGCCTGCCCCCAGCTCCCTCCAGTTCCGAGTTCCTGGCGAGAGGAAGACAGGTGCAGGGGAGGCCCAGCTGGTCGTCATAGCGACCGTGACCCCCCTGACCCCTGCCTCCTGAGCCTGTGTGGATCGTTTCCTGCGCCGACCTTGGGGCCCAGCAAGGGCAAGCGAGAAGCTGGCGTTTGGGGAGGTGGGGATGAGCGGGCTGTCCGGGCTCCTGCCAGCCTGTGCCCGTGAGAGGACAGAGCTCCGACCAGACTCCCCTGGGTGCTGCTGCCCGGTTCGCAGAGGGGCCGGCGGGGGCACCTTCAGCGCGGAGGGCCTGCCGGGACCCGGAGCGCCTGTGGTCCTCGTCCTCCCGGGGCCTGAGGTTACCGCCTGCCCACCCACCTCCAGGTCCCTTCCTCAGGGACCCTCACCGGCCCCGTCCTGCTCCCACCCCAATTCCCCTGAAATGGGGGCCCCCAAACCCGGGTCCCATCCCGCAGCCCCAGGACTCACCGGTACCCCCTCATCCTCATGGGTACCCCCTCTCCCCGTCCTCACAGGTACCCCCCACGTCCTCACAGAGACTCACCGGTACCCCCTCATCCTCATCGGTACTCCCCCCCCTCATCCTCACAGGTACCTGCCACGTCCTCACAGAGACTCACCGGTACCCCCTCATCCTCATGGGTACCCCCCCTCCCCATCCTCACAGGTACCCCCCACGTCCTCACAGAGACTCACCGGTACCCCCTCATCCTCATGGGTATGCCCCCTCCCCCCTGTCCTCACAGGTACCCCCACGTCCTCACAGAGACTCACTGGTACTCCCTCATCCTCATCAGTTACCCCCTCCCCCCTGTCCTCACAGGTACCCCCCACATCCTCACAGAGACTCACCGGTACCCCCTCATCCTCACAGGTACACCCCCTCCCTGTCCTCACAGGTACCCCCCACGTCCTCACAGAGACTCACCGGTACCCCCTCATCCTCATCGGTACTCCCTCCCCCTCATCCTCACAGGTACCTGCCACGTCCTCACAGAGACTCACCGGTACCCCCTCATCCTCATGGGTACCCCCCCCTCCCCATCCTCACAGGTACCCCCCACGTCCTCACAGAGACTCACCGGTACCCCCTCATCCTCATGGGTATGCCCCCTCCCCGTCCTCACAGGTACCCCCACGTCCTCACAGAGACTCACTGGTACTCCCTCATCCTCATCAGTTACCCCCTCCCCCCTGTCCTCACAGGTACCCCCCACATCCTCACAGAGACTCACCGGTACCCCCTCATCCTC